TCATACTTGCTGCCTGAATATTAGACTGTGTTCATGCAGTAATAAACAGAGATCTGTGTTCTTCTCCAGAAAGGAGGTTTCCCAAGACAATTCTACCCCACCTTGTCTTCTAATGACGCTGGAGTTCCAGGGCAACCATGAAGTAGGTTCAACATCTTCACTGAAAAAAATGCAAGGACACAGTTATTGGTAAAGAAAAGTGCTATTTTTTAATTAGTTCTTGAATGTGTAGGTCCTTTTAAAATAGTGACACCTCCCCTGATAACATTCCTCCCTCCTGACCCTAACCACATTGGAGCCAATGGCACTCCTAGAAAAGGCCTGAAAGAAACTCAGCCCAGATCTCCAAGAAAGGGGTACAATTTGAGGAACAGGCTTGTGGCTCACAAAGCAGTGCCAGCCACTGAAGACTTTCCTTGAAGCAGCTCCCTTTGGCCTCTGAGTCCTTTGCCCTGGTTGGCCAAGATGCCCCCAGCTGTCTCACCCCCAGGATTCCCTTGTTCCCTGTGGAGCCTAAGCTTTTGAGTTTGAATTACTGTTATCAACCACCACCCCCAACTTTATATATGGGGAAACTGTACCCAAGGTCACACAACTGTAATTAGCAGAGCCAAAATGTAGGTGTTCAGCATCTCAAGTCAGACACTGCTCTACTATACCCTCTACTTCCAAGAAACACAGCAACATCTTCCCTAGGAACAACTGGAGCAAAGAGGTTGTGATGAGCAGTATCGATGGGAAAGAACTGCTAAAGGGGGCCGGGCTGAACCCAGCTGAGCCCCTAACAAGTGATAAATCACAGCAATTCCCCATTTTCCTTCCATCCAAATGTTATGAGCAGCAGACATTCAGCCCTTCCAAAAGTGTCCAGGCTAGCAGCACTAAAGTATGCATAGAAATGGTTTCCCATGTTTCCAAACTCCTGACTGGCAGGTCAAACTGGTATGGGAACCATGGTGATGCGCTATACACCAGCCTGGTGGGCCAGCTCGCCAAACTACTACTTCATAAGACCTAATAAACTCTCTTGGTCTGATTTAGATGGGATCTCTAATCAGACATGGCTAAAATCTGTCTATGCTACATTGAAGGGAAAAAGACAGAGGAAAGGGCCCACAGAGACTGTCCCCCGAGCAGAGAACATACTTGGCATGAGAACTGAGTCCAGGAGAGAAAGACTCAAAGAAAGCAGGCAGACACACGGCATGGAGAGCAGGAGCAGCCATGCTCCTCCCTGCCTATCAACTCTGAAGAGGAGGGACACAGGAAGATGCAGGTGTCCCCTCCCATCAAGGTTTTGAGGAAGGCTCAGGTGTGTGGCTGAAAGCTAAGAGGCTAATCCAGAGACTACAGTATCACAAACACCAAAGGAGGAGCGTGTTTCAGAGCGGAAGTAGTAGATGGTGTGTGAGATGTTATGGAGGGTTGAAGACAGCTGGAGCTGAAAGGTATTTATTTGTTTTGGCCATTAGTGTCTTTAATACGAAACTGTGGAGGGTCAAAGAGCCACTGAGAAGAATCCATGAAAAAGACTTTTTAAAAGAAAGTTGGCTAATAAGGAAAAAGTTAAAGGGGCAACTGACTCTAGAAATTTAATTTAATCTTGAGGCAAACTCTGCCTGTTTGTAGGCTATGAGGGGTTGAAGACCCAGGAAAGTGGGAGCAGCAGGGTAAATGATAACGTCAACTCTTGGAAGACATATATCAGGATTCAAGAAAGAAAGCACCAAATAGAAGCAAGGAGAGGAAGAAAAGGATGTACACAGAGATGGGAAGGGAGAGGAGCAAGCAGCCAGGAAGTTCTTGCTGATGGCCTCTCTTCTTTGAAGTAGGCTATTTACTAAGAACAATGATGAAGGACATGGATGGAAAGCAGAGTAACAAGTCAAAGATACTGATCAATACTGAGCACCCAAATGAGGCTGTGAACTATTAATTTGTGAGGCTTAGCAGCTCAGGCAGGAGCATGAAGTAGAGTGATGCAGAATATGGAGAATGGTTGATAGCTTCAGCAAATGTTGGGGGGATGAAAAAGTTCAGATTGCTGGTGAAAAGGTATGATGGGCCTTGGGTTCAGGCTGGGGAGAGGTAGGTGTCCCAGAGAAGGCTGTAAGACTGGGAGAATAGAAAGAACTTACATCGTGGAAATGGGCTAAAGGAGCAGGGTAATTTAGGTAAACGAACAGGAAGAGGAATCACAGAGGGCGGTGTATAAGGAGCATAGTCTCACTTCAAGAGTTCTCATCATGGAATGGAAGAAGGAGCAGAGCAGAGCCTAGAAACAAGGATGGGCCTATGTCTGAAGGGTAGGGCAAAGACATGTCACCCAGAAATGAGTACCAGGAGCCAGAGTCTTCTGGGGTTGATGGCAGGGCCTGTTATAAAGCAGAGCCTTACAGAGAGCTGATGGCTGCCATGCAAGGAGCGGGTGCCTGCAGAGGCAAGTGGGGTGGGTAGTTGGCATTGCTAGAATCACAGTAGGGCAAGACTGCCTATGTCCTGGAAAAGTGCTCTGCGAGTCCAACCTGCAGCAGTTTCCTTTTCCATCAACTGAAGCCGCTCCACGCTCAGGCTTCTCAACACAACCGAAAAGCCCAACTTCTCCTCTAGATGGCATTTGTACCACAAGAATCCAGAACTCACTGCATTTCCATTTCCTGACTTTGTCAAGGGCCAGAGGTCTTGGCTGACTTCAAAATGGGGTCATTATGGGAATAAGTTAAAAGCAGATTCAGCTCAAATACTAGCAAACAGCCACAGAGGTCAGTCACTCAGCTAGTAACTGCCTTTTTGTTTTCATTTCTAAAAAGTCATGTTGTGTTTTCTGCATGCAAAACCAAAACAGAATCACTTAAAACATTGGTGCTAAGTACACAGGTAAAACCAGGGAGAGGGTAGTGCTGTGGCGTAACCAGTGGAGGAATGGTGTGGTGGGCCAGAGCCTCCCCATAGAGATAAGACACTTAACCTCCCAGCTCTCCCTGGTCAGAGGCCTAAAGGTAGCCTTTCAGCATGCAGGGACTCAGTGTTGGAAAGGGAATGTGTGACTTCCCACCACTCTCTTAGGGTCTCCTAGCCTGGCAGGCTGATTCTTGAGCTCAGCAGTCTTAACCCCTGCATGCAGCTTTGGGGTCAGAAGAGAAGCCAAGCATTTAAACAGATATTTCTGCTTCATATCTGTGGTCTCCAGCTAGTTCTGAGGGAGGAGTTCAGTCAAGCATGAGGCTGTCTGTCATGGCCCTCATTTGGCAGCCCAACACAAGCACCATGAAGTTCAATCAGAGAGGTGGTAATGTGGGCCACATGAAGGAAAGATGACCAAGAGCCAGAATGTAAGCAAAGTAATTGCAGAGAAAATGCTGTAAATTCAATTAAAGCAAGAAAAAGATTCAAATATCAAAAGGAAGTGGCCAGTGCCCAAATCAGAAAGTCATGTGAGCCCCCAAAGAGCAGAAGGCTAAACCAAAAATTGCTTGGCTACTGGAGTTAAAGGCTTAGTTACCCCAAACAAGAAGACAGAATTAGGGAAGCCCATCTGCTTAGGAAAGCTTGATGTGAGCTTGGGGAAGGATGACAAGTCAACAGACAATTTGCTTTGAGGTAAAGAACATCTCACAGCCCTGGTGGAGAAGGAAACGAGCAGGGTTATCAGTTTGCAAGGAGAGAAGAAGTGTTTTCTGTTCATTATTTTCCCATTAACAATGGTCCTACAAATGAGAATTTCCTCAAACTGTATCTCTTAGCAAAATAAAGCCATGACCTAAGACTCCCCTGAAATCAGCCAAGCCATGACAGGACCAGGGCAGGCTCTGTCTCTGGGCCATACCACTGAGTAGCAGACCCACAGCTCTCCCATATCGACAACAGGTTCCTTCACAACTAAGCCCTTGCTGGTGAGGTGGCCTGACTCCCAGCATCTGCCTGTGTCTCTTTCTCACAGACACCCTTCATGGACCACAAAGATCTGAGACGTAGCCTGGAGCTCCTATCCCCATGCCTTCAAGAACACTTCTCTCTGTGCTCAGGAAGTTGAGACCTGAGCTTGTTTTAGGGTCACCAAAGGACACTGGCTTCTGGCTTCTCAGCTTTCCCCTTCTGCCCCCAGACAGAAAATCTTCCATGAATGCTTAGGCGTGGCTCCTGCTCTCCTGTCTGATCTTCTCCAACCTCCAATAAAAAAGGGCTGCCGGTAGAGTCTTGGCTTTTTCTAGGTTGAAGATAGTCTTGGGGCAGGTGAATCAGAAGACTCACTTCTGATCTTTGGCTCTGTGAATGAGGAAAGGTTGAGAACTAGGATCTCTAGGCAGGAGGAGATGCCCACAGCGTGAGCTGGTTGTAGGTCAGTCTCTTTGCCCAGGGAATGCTGTACCTAAAGCAGATAGCAGCTGCCTCAGTTTTCCCAAGGAGAACTCAGGATCTGGATGTCTGATGGAAATAATGAAGGGGTAGCCACCAACAGTCACTTTTAGGAAGGCGGGTTCTGACACCAAAGAAGACACGTTAGTCCAAAATAAGTGGCACAAATGACAGCCTCTGAAGCCGATGTCTTCTCAAGCCTACCAGTGAAATCTGAGTCTGAAGATGCAAGTGGTCTCTGCACAGCCATACTACCCAGTCAAGAATGCCAGAGCATTCCCAGCAGCCCTCTCCCGCAGTCACCTGGTTAACACCAGGAAAGGGGGCATGAAAAACAAATACCCTGAAAACCGTTAGAACCCGAATAGGCACCAGTGAGACCTGTGGCCTCTAGTAGCCTCCAATACCCTGCCCAAGGCAGATGCCTCTATCATGGCAGGCCAAGCAAAGGCAAATAGTGACAATCTTTGGCTGTGCTGGGCTAGGGATTACAGGCCTGCATTATGTCAGAACCTCTCTCCCTCCCTTCTTTTACCCTCTTCTGGGCTCTGGAAGAGTTCAGATATTTACATTGCTCCTGTGCACACTGAAGGGTAAGAAAAACCTGCTTTCCTCAGCAGAACAAATTCACCAAGGTCGCCCCAAGTCTGACCAGGCCTGGTCCTGTCAAGTGGACCCTACACAGCAGATGACCCTGAAAGAGGGAATACCTCCCTCTTTGCTGTTTATTACTGACATCTTCTCTGTAGTGGATGCACTCTGGCTCCTGAAAAAAATGCTGTAAGATGCAAATGGCAAAGAAGAGCACTACACAGCTCGACAAAACTTGTCTGACATCCACGATCTGAGGAGAATGAGCTGAAAGGTGGGAAGGAGTAGTCAACAGGCCAGGGCGCTGCAGCTGGAGTGTTTCACCTCCTTCCAGCCCTCAGACCTGGGAGATGCTGTTGGTCAGGCGGAATGACATTCTTTTTGCTTTTTCATTCTCCTGAAAGAAAAGAAATCGGAATTTGAATGTCCACATATAGGATTTATTCATGTGAAAGGCTAAGAGTCCAGAATGGGATTCCCTGACGTCAAAGTGTTTTATTCTACACCAGAAATGCAAGAGCAAAAGTCATGGATGCTGCTAAACAGTGTCGTGAACAACTGGGGTGGCTGGTCCTACGCCAGCGCACAGCAGGAGGGCAATTCAGTTTGGTGGATGAAACAGTACTGAGTGGGCGCCTCAGGTGTGCACTGAGAGGACCTACCGAAAGGTCAGAGGATCTTGCAAACAATACCTCTCCTTCCTTCGCAATACCAAGGGGCTGAAAAGATCTCTTCCTTCCTCCCAAACCCAGGCTGAGATTGGGCTCTGAGACCTGGAAATTCCCTACTTATGGACATCACAATGGAGAATAATCAGCACTGAGCTGGAGTAAGGATACCTGGTATCTCACCCTGTTTTTGCCAATTTGCTCAGTGACCCTGAGCTGGTATATCCATGTCTGAGTTTCCAGCCTCCATGGTAAATGGAGTTGATGAGGCCTGTGCTGCCTGCCTTCCTCGTAGGCTAAAGAGTTGGAAGTGCAGGTTCATTGTCACCACTCTCTTGTGCCACCTGAGCAGCTTCACGCTGGGTGCCCCTGCCTGCCCAATCAGCCACCCACCCTCCTGCCTGGCTGCCAGCCGGCAGCAACTCTTTACCATGTGTCGCCGCCGCCTCTTGGGCTGAATGCCTTCCTGCACGTAAGTGGGCCATGGGAAGCCCTGGGGAGTGGAACAGCCACTCTCGCTAGACACTTCCTCGGAGTCTGAGTCCTCTTGCCTTGGCTGAGCAAACAGTTTCTCCGGGTAGATCTCTTTCAACCAGCCCTCAAAGAATACTTCCAGGCAGCGGCCGGCCTCTGCAACCTCGGAGTCAGGCTGAAAGGGAGGAGAGCAGTGAGGATCTGACCTGTTTCTACTAGCCCATCTCCTCTAAGTCCCTGAAGAGCTACACAGACAGCAGGAAGTCTGGCTGGGTCTCCAGCTTGCCTGGAACTTGACATTTTCTCAAGACTTGGGTATCAGTTCTTCTTATCAGAAATAACCTGACAAGTACCCACAGATGACCAATCCCTAGCACCCGCCCTGCCACCCAAACCTCCTTCCTGAGCCCATACGGAGGCTCCAGTTCAAGGCCAGCTTTTAAACACTTACTAGAGTAGGACCTGGGAGTCGGTTCCAGATCGGCATGGGAGCCCAGGACCAAACCTGACACCCCACCCAGCTATGAAAATCTTGGGGTCACTGAGAAATAGGGGAGAGGGCAAATAGATAAGACATACATAATTGAACTTAGCACAGTTCCAAAACATGAGGCGCACATCTGACACCACCTCCTCCGGGGTGGTATAGTGAGCTGGGTCCTTCTTCTGCAGCTTTCTCCGGATGATAGACAGGTCCATGGGCCTCTTAATAATCTGGTAGTAATGCCGGGCCTGGGAGGGATCAGAAAACAGAGGAGGCGGCAAAGCAGCAACAGAGAAGTGAGCATATAGATAAGAAGGAAGAAGAGGTGAGAATGCGTTAGAATAGAAGTGAAAGAATAGAAGAGGAAAAAAGAAGAGAAGAGAAAGGTAGCAAGAATAAAAGTGTGGCAAAGTAAAGAGAGAAGGAAAGGGGAATGTTTTATCTGTCAAGTCAGGTCTAAAGCAGCAGCAGTTGGCCAGGGCACTGAGGGTGACGACTCCAGGAATGGGCCATCCACAGATTAGTCACATTTCTCTAGTAGGCATGTTCTAGCCCCCCCTGGCACCACATGACCTGCCCTGTGACCTTGAGCCTTCTAAGCGGAAGCCCCATTGCAGGCAGAGACAGCGAGGCCGTGCTTACCAGAGGGCTGACAGGTTCGTGGAAGGGCAGGCTGAGGCTATTGCAGCACAAGGACAGGACCAGCTTCTCACACTTCTACAGAAATCAGAATTGGCAGCAGTTACTCTATTCCAGCCCTACTTCAACAATAATTAAAGATAGTAACTCTGAAAACTCTCAAGAGGTTTGCTCTGTCCCACAGGGTAAAAGCCACCAAACTAGAGGGAAAGAGTGGCAGCAGACAAAATCGTAAGTAACAAACCCCACACAGGCCAAGATCGCAGGCATAGCTCAAAAGAGGCACTGGAAAAGGTACCTCATCCCCTCAGAAGGCCTTAGGCCCTATAAACACAGGGAGGCTGCTCCAGGCAGGGAACCTTGTTTCCAGAGCCCCACCCTACCTTCTGGTCATATATGCTCAGGCCGGGAGGGGCCCGCACCCCAGGCTGGTTATAGCGGGCATTCTCACAATCGTACTCCATCTCAGGCTGTGTCAGGCTGCGGCACAAGGTACACACCCAGTCTCCCCTGCAGAGGCAAGTGAGGCCCCATTAGCCCACAGTGCATTGCCCAGAGCCCCTCTGACAGTCCCTCTGCCCCAAGACATGTGTGAAAGGCAGTGGTGTGGAAAGCTGAGTCCTAACCTGGCCCTCTAGGGAATGACTTTCTAGCCAGCCGCCTGAAGGAAATTCAGCAGCTCACAATTTAGAGAACCCAGGAAAATAGAAGTTGGAAGGGGTTGAAATGGGAAACAGGGAGAAATCTTTGTGGGAGAGGAAACTTGGGAGAAAGGAAGAAGGGAAGTCACTCAAATTTAAAAATCTACCTGTCCGTGTGCAAAAGGCATACAGATGTAGTACTACTAAGTCACACACCTGCAGTTTAGGCAGCCCAAGGAGGGGAGGAAGCCCATTGCAGAGACTTCTGAGGGCCTGGCCTGGAATAGTACCCCTGGAAGAACATCCTGCTAGCCACATGATGCCCCAGTTGGAAGGACTTACCCTGGGAAGCTGAGCAGTGCTGGCAAGTGGCAGGAAAGGTGGTACACTTTGGGGCAACGATCGCAGCACAGCAACTCTCCCCCGTTGAGGCACACCGCACAGAAGTCCTCATTTTCTATTGGTACCGGGGGTCCCTTCTTGGCTCCAGGGGTTCGAGGAATGAGTCTGTGCTCCTCAGGGGATGTACCCTCCACCTCTGATAGCCGCTGTCCAGCCAGAGAAGTGACCGTGACCTTTCTTCCCCCTAGACTTGGGGACTGGCTGGCGTCAGTGACATTGTCCTGGCTGACCTTGGGGGAGAAAGTGAGTCTGAGCCAGAGCATAGGACCTACAATTTTTTGAGGGTAGTGGGGTAGAGACTGACAAAACTGGAGCATCAACTTATTCCAGGGCCCCAAGTCAGTCAAGCCCCATGAATTCTGGGACAGCTCATGCCTATGGTGTGTCTCACCGGTCCCTTGCAGCAAGAGACAAAATCCTGCCAAGCTGCAGCACCACTCAGAGACTCAAAATAAGGCAGAGTCAGACTCATGATGGAAGCAGAGAGAAAGCAGAGCTCTGAGTCTGTGCCTACATTCACAGGTAAAGCAGAGCAAAGTGGTACCTTAATGGACATGCTGGAGGACTCAGTCCCACACTCGATGATCAGCAGGAAGCTCCCATCTTGATCATTCTTCTGTGGCTTCAACTTAAACACAGGCATCTCTCCCGAAGAGGCAGCACAGATCTTCAGTCGTTCCAATCGCACATAGGGAATCTTGGGCTCACTGTTGATGGGTCTGTGGTAAAAGCAACACGTCTGGGCCTTGGGAAAAGATTCTGTGGCCCCAATCTCTGAGTCAAGTTCACCCATGACCCCACAACTGAATTGCTGCTCAAGATCTCAGTCCAATCCTCTACAGACCCATGTTCTGCCCTCCTGCCCAGTCTGCTGGGCCAGGCCCAGTCCTTGCAGAGGGCAGGATGCAAACAGAGCATGTGCCCCGTGGTGCAGAAGCCTGGACATCGCCCCACAACCAGTTCAGATACCCAACCACATAGGCCCTACTTAAGGTTCTGGGGATGAAAAAGACGGTTGCAGGAGAACTTGCTCCTCATTAACTAATCAAAGATGCTTACTTCCTGTACCAACCTCTCAGGTCATGAAGTTGGGAGTCAGTAGAGCAAGGTTGGGCCAAGAGTCTGGTTACCTGATACTCTGGTTTTCCTTTGTATCCAGCTTTAGGGCTTCTTGTTCAAATTTGTCATACTCTAAGGCAAGAAATGAATAAATATTTGTGACACATTTATGACAACACAGACTGTCATTCACACCTTCCATTCATATCTACTGCTCACACCTATGTCTACACACCTGTCACACCGTTGTTACCCATAGTGTAATCATTCACAATGATGACAATCCTGCATTGCCTTTCTACCTGAGAGGAGAAGGCCACCCTCTGTTAAAAAGATAAACACAGATCACCACTCAGAATCTCACATAAGTGAGGTGTCAGACACAGAGGAGCCTGCTTCTCACTTCTGAAATAAGCTCAGAAGTCACCTGTTCCCCATACATCCATGTTACCTGCTCTCGGGAGTCATTCTGTTCAACCTCTGCCATGTCAGCTAAGTGCTGGAATTCTAATACTACCTGAGAAACCCTGCCAGCTCATACCTGCCATAAGCCCTGCCCTGAGTAGTGCAGTCTGAATGGAAGGGTGAGATGCAGCAGTGGGGGGAGAAGAGGAAACCAGCACCAACTGAGTGTGCTCACTCAGCACCAGGCACTAGATGAGGTATTTTTCAAGGGCAAACAAGGCCCCCAAATTTCAACAGCCTAAAATGCAGGATTCCATTATTGTACAGGTAATAAAAGCCAATAATGCTTCAGTTGGTCTTTCAATCAGCATAAGGGAAAAGAGGAGAAAAACTGTTCTATTTTCATTTAGTGAAAGTACAGACATATCTCATTTCATTACAGTTCACTTCATTGTGCTTCCGAGATACTGCGTATTTTACAAATTGAAGTTGTGTGTCCATCCTGCATCAATCAAGTCTACTGGCATCATTTTCCAAGAGTAGGTGCCCGCTTCATGTCTATGTTACATTTTTTTGCAATAAAATATTTTTAATTAAGGTGTATATTTTTTTTAGATATATGCTCTTGTTCACTACACGGACTATAGTATGCCATAAACATAAATTTTATATGCACTGGGAAAAAGTTTGTATGACTTGCTTTATTGCAATATTAGCTTTGTTGCAATGGTCTGGAACACAACCCCATAATCTCAGAGATATGCCTGTATAAAGAAAGACTGATCATTACAAGTAAACACATGATAAACTGAAATTAACAAGTCACTACCTAACTGCCCAGCTAGCCCTCACCTTCCACAGAAGAAAGGAACCCTAACCTAGCCCCACTGAGAAGGGATGTGGGTAGCTGAGGAGAGAATGAGAGCCACTCCCCAACTGCCCAGATGTCCTTTCACAGGGGGCACAACCCAAATACATATTACTGCCAGGTGCAAGGTAAATCCTGTTACTATAGAGTAAATCATCAAATAGTTTCACTGTACTTATGTGTCCTATGAAGCAGGTATGATCAGCCCTATTTCACAGAGAAAGAAACCAGCTCTGAAAGATAAGGTATCTTCTCAGGAAAAAGCATAAAAAGACAGAGCTGTGTTTCTAACCAAGGTTAAACATGATTTTCCCCCAGGTCCAGGCTAGCCCTTCTGAGGTGATTCTTTCTCTTTCTGCTACTCAGACCCCAGCCCCAGAACTTTTTGCATAGACATGTTACAAGGAAACTGAGTCCTGGCCACACCTGGATCAGCCACGGCCACAGCAGGAGTATAACAGGGGTCAGTAAGTCAGTGCTGGAGGGAAGGACAGAGGTAAACACGATTCTCAGTAAGGTGCCTGTCAGATGGCCTCTATCTCACCTGCAAGTGCTGAGTCCCTTGCTCCATTTAGTGGACAGTATGAAAGGTAGGCTGCTCACTGGAGTCTCACCTTTTGGGTTCCGGTACTGCTGCAGAGCCATGGATGTGTTCACTGCTGGGACCAGTGTAGGTTTTTTCACAGAGAGGTTAATTGGCTCTTCTAGTTCTGAGGGGATAGCTAAGTCCTTGGAAGCATTCAGTCCAGGAGCTGTAGGAACTTGTCCCAAAGAGTCACTGAAGCGGGTGGAATCCTCACTTTCCATCTTTTACCCAAGTGAAAGGCAAACAAGAATACAAGAAATCAGGGTGCTCATCACTAGAGATTAGAGAGCTCAGATAAGCTAAGGCCAGGATAGCCTTTAACTTCCTCTGCCTCAGAGGAAGTGGAATGCTTTTGCCCACGACTTACCTTGCACAGAGTATTCCCCAGGGAGGAGTCAGCCCCACCCCTGGGGCACAGGCTCCCTGCAGCTCGGCCAGACCCAGGACTGCTGCTGGATCCAGTTTCTGACTGTGTATCAGAAGCAGGAGGCAAGTTCTGCGGAGGACATGGTGCCAGACTTGGCACAGTCTGAGTGGGACCAGACATCTGGTTGGGTCCGGTCTGAGAGTGATCGCTTGCCAGGCTTGTGATGGTGTGCGAGGAGTCACTCAGCAGGTTGGGCATGGACTGTGGTATACTACGTACAAGGCTAGGTATGTTCTGCAGATGACTGGCTGTCAGACTAGGCAAGGCCTGGTTTTGACCACCAGTCAGGTTGGACACAGCTGGGGCAGGCCCACTCAGCAGGCTTGGTACCACTTGGGGAGGGCTAGGTGTCAGGCTGCTCACGCTTTGGATCTGTGGCTCTAGGGTTCTTGCCAGCCTGGTAGATGACAACTCCATCTCTAGTGTGTTGGAAAAGCCCAAGATGCTCACTGAAGTAGAGTGCTGTGGGAGCAAAGACAAGGGCAGAGTCAGGCTGCAACTGGGAATGGTGGGAAGGGAAGGAGAGAAGCCGCCCATAAGACTCCTGTGTTAGATTGCACTCTAGCCACAAAGTCTAGTAGTTACAGGGAACTCAAGCAGCACTGGAGACCTGATTCCCATTCTTCCATGCCTGGAAGGTCAGTAGCCTGTGACAAAGATACAGGCTGAGAACACTGTTGTGTGTGTGTGTGTGTGTGTGTGTGTGTGTGTGTGTGTGTGTAGTCAGTAACACCCCTCACCCCCAAGTCCATTAGTTAAGAGTCAGACTATGGGTCTGTCCTCCAACTCCATATTCCCCACCCTGATTAAACCACTAGTAGCTTCTTTTCCCTTAAAGGGGTCCTACAGGTAACTGATGATATATTCAAAATGGGAGAGTTCAGCAGGCTCAAACTCTCAAATTTGTTCAGCTTCTGAAACAGGACAAGCTCTCCCTCCAATTCTTACACCTCCCACCTTCAGAGAGACTATTTGTTCTGCATGTAATATTCTCCTACTTCTGGACCTATTGCTCTTATCATTTTGAACTCAGTTCACCTGATTTTTTGCTCTAGCCTAGGCTGGGGGTATAACTCCTTGTACTTTATTCTCCCAGAACATTCTTTGATAATATGAGATTAATGTCTGTTTCCACTACTAAATTATAAGTTCTAATAGAGTTATGATTTTGCCCATTTTGTTTACATTGTATTCCCAGGCCCAAGAGTTTGGCTGAATTAATGAGCTATTTTTAAAATTTAAAGAGAGTAATGTGTGACTGTTTATTTTACAAGTCTTAAGCCAAATGAATAGCAGTTTAGTTCCACTAACAGCTGAGTTTAATGTCATTATAGCTAAAATTTATTGAGAATTTACAAATCAATCTAAGTATTTTATATGCATTTCCTCACTTAATCCTCATAACAAATATTAAGATATTTGTTATTAAATCATCATAACAAATATTGTGATAGTTAAAAGGAATCCATATAAACATTTGTGGTTACATGGTTGCTGTTGCTATTACTGTTATTATTTTTGTTATGACCCTAGAAAGGCATCTGAACTGATAAGATAACTTGTGGATTTCCATTTCCTTTGATTTGTGTTCCCAAATGGAAATTAGTTGATTTTTGTATGTTGGCCTTGTTTACCCAGAGACCTTGCTAGTCATGTTGGAATTTTCTGTGAACATAAATCATGCCATCTATGAATAGTTAAGTTTTATTCCTTACTTTCCTTACATTTTTCTTGTCTTACTCCACTGTTAAGGCCTCCAGTATGAGAATGAATAGTAATGATAGCCATACTAGTCTCATTCCTAAACTCATGGGGATCCTTCCAATATTTTACCACTGAATATGATTATTTGGTGGAGGGCTTTTGTTGATTTAGAAACCAAAGCTCTGGAAGGAGCACGATATTCCTAATTCTGGCATGTCAGCCTCTGTCCTCCTCTGTGTACCCCTCCCCGAGCTTGCCTCTACTCTGTTATTCAACCTCTGTATCCTTCCCATGCCTGCTCTTTCTCTCTTTAAATCTCTCCTCTACTTTCCTTAATTTTTTTGTTGTTGTTGCCCAATCTTTTTATTATTTAACTACTTTAGTAAAGCTTATATTTACTATTCTTAACCCTCAATTATAGAAGTAGATGGACTAAATACCTTTTCCCCTCCACAGAAAAGTTAGCATTTGTACTGTTCCTTGTTAGTTTCAATGGTTGTCAATTGAAAGCCTTCAATTTGCTTTCTTGCCTAAGTCCCAAGAAAAGAAAGGCTGAAGAGACGAGAGAATGGAAGGAAATGCTCAAACTAGACTGGGTAAACTAGACATGGTATCCAGCTTAAGTACTAAGAAATCACAGGTAACCTCAAACATATGCTGGCCTGCACTCCTTTTGTCCCCTTGTTATGCTGGTCATGTACTATGCAGTAGTAGTTTAGTACTATTTTGTATTTCCTTATCTATAGATAAGAATAGCCAATGATTATTGCATTCCTTTTTGTAATGATATATGACCATGTAATTTTGGATTCTTTCGCCTTTTCACCATTTGACATGCAGAGTTATAATGCAGTTCTGATATTCATCTCTACTGATAACACTGAAAGATCCCAATGAGATCCTTGGTGCCAGGTATTAAAATCTCCAAAATCCATCTGGTACTATTCCAATGGTGAGGTGCTATACATCACAAGACAGGCCCAAGATTAAATTCCCACAGACATAACTTTCCAGGTTAGGTGTAGAGCTCACACTTGTAGGACATCGACTCCCTGGCTCTGACTACTTACTATATATTATGAAACGTGAGTTAATATAATGATGGAGGAAAAGGGCATGCAGACTGAGCAATGCAAGAGTTATTTCAATTCTGTTATAGTTTATGTTGACCTGGGCCTCCTAGGCCTGCTCCTGCAAATCCAGGAGACAGTCCAAGGTCAGAACATACCCTATATACTATAGACTAGACTAATCTCTTTCACGTCTTTATCTTCAGCCAATCTCAAGGAGGCCAAAGCTATCACTGGTGGAGTGAAGCTCTGGTAGTGCAAACTTCTGGGATCTGTCCATAGGAAGATCTGAGAAGGGACTCAAAAAAAGTGCTAGGAGGAAGCCAGCCCAAGCTGATTTCTATGGGCCATATATAAACACAGTGACATTTCAGGAACCTATGTGGGCTGTTATTTCTGATACTTCATCTTGACTTCTAGAGTGAAGAACTACAAAATATCAAACCATAAAGTACTTATTTCACATACATGAAGAAAGAGCGGAATCGAGAGAGTCCATCCTACTCTGTGGCCACTGCCACAGGTAAGTGGGAGCCAGAAAGCCAATTTTCAGGGCCAGAAAGGCAGGCTAACTCTCTTGGACCAGGGAAGAAGGAAAGGGTTTCTCAAGAGATTTCTAGAGTTTGAAGAGGTTTGGAAATGAGGCTACATCTTGATATAGGATGCCTCATATACAGGAGCAGCTCATCCATAGGTGGAGAAAACTGTAAAGTCTGAATGGAGCAATCACTCATACTTCCAAGTTGTTAGCTATAGAATAGACATCGTGACTTAATTTTCACATACAAACTCTTCAGGTCTCATGAGGGAGATGATGTATATTTTGAGGTGTGCAAGTGGAAAACTAGTGTCTAGTTCAGGGAGGATAAGAAATTAAAATGCCAAAAACATTCACTCTAATAATCAGCTGAAGTCATCCTTGGGGTGTGAGGAGAGACCGCCCTGAGTCCCTGACTAGCCTCGCTTCACATGCCCAATATGCTTTTGCCTCTTCCAAACTGTGTGTTCCTTTTCCTGCCCCTTCTCTCTTCTTGTTTATCTCTTTATCTTAGTCTCCTAACTTGCTCGCCACTTATCTGAATCATCTCAGCTAAAATCTATAAATTCTACTAATCTGAACATGCCTCAACAACTTGTCTGACCTGTTGCCCCCCAGTTGTCTATGAAACTTCTTCTACTACTCACCTATGCAATCTTTCTCAAATCCAAACCCTGTCTCCTACTTGACCTGTGTCTATATTCTGCTGCCCTTTGTCTCCCCAGCATGACTGGCCAGATCTTTTTCTAGAGTTCAATGTGCTTACATTATTATTCTAATGATCGCCATGTGGCGGTTGTCCAAATTTAAAGAAAACATTGTTCATTTTAACAGGAAGGGAAATTGAGACACAGAGTGATTACCCAGCTTTCCCAAACTCATCTAGGCCCAGGACTAGGAATCTGAGCCCAGAATTTGCTGGCTGCACTTGATTTTGCACCAATAGCTAAAACTAGTGTCCTAGTAAGATGTGATTGAGAAGTCAATAAACAGACACTTAGTGTGCATGCCCTGAGTTTAATATAAATGTCAGGTTCTTACATAAGCATAATGTTGCTAGAGATAAAGTAGCACAGATAGGTAGTATTCCACAGAAATTAATTTCCCAGATATCTGAAACATACCTCTTTCTATAACAAAGTATAATTGCCTTAAAAGTACCATTAGAATGGGAGTACTCTAAAATATATTATACACTGCCCTATCTTAGAGACGAAGAAATGAATTCCTGGAGTGGGTTTTGATTCAGTGATGTTTTAGGGAACTTGTGAGAATTCAGAGCTCACTCGCCCTTTCATGAACAGCCTCACACGGTGGCACTGTTGCAGGTGATGTTTTTGCCTTCTTCCTTGTTACTTGTAAGCTGCTGGTACAGAAATTCCAACTCCTTGCTTCTAATCTTCTTTCCCAGTTTCCATAATATAGAAAAATTAAAAATTCTCAAGGAAATCTAAACCTTAGGTCAAGAACTCTGACTAGATACCTGAGTGTGGACTTATGGTGTCATATAGAGTGTAATGTGCGGGGTTGCAACATCTGTTTTTGTTGTTTCTCTGAAGTTCTGCCTGCTCACTTCTGATTTAAGGGTTGTTGTTTGTTTTTTCCTAGTAGTTAAAATTGGAAAGACTGACCATCAAGTAAATGTGCAGGAGGATAAAGGAACAATGACTTGCAAAAACAGTGAAGTCATGTGAAGGAAGCAGATAAGGAAACAAAGATAAACATAAACAGATTTGTGAATTAAACCTTAGAATATCTGAGTGCTTCAACTTCAGACCAGGTAGACTGGCTTAACAGTAGTAGATCTTGAAACAAATGAACAGATAGTAGAGGAAGGAACTAACTTTACCAGTAAGTGATTTCACAAGTAATTTTTAGTAGTGAAGTTAGGCTCTCAAGAAGTGACTGCTTCTTCAACTCAATGAAAAACTCTTTTAGAAACTAATGCTATCCCTGTGTATATAATGATGCTGACATATGCTAACTCACCAGCCAAATGGGAAAACATTATTGAATGATAAAGAAAGAACTGATGAGTATTCCATGCCTTGATGATCCAGGGAAGATAGAAAAAGCAAAAGGCAGATCCCTAGAGTCTAAGGTAGAAGGAAATAAGTGGATTCCAATAAATCTAAAGTGAAAGCCAAATATGTGGAACCCAGGCCTTAAAGACTTGGGAGATTTAGGCCAGAGGTATTTGGGCCAGGCCAAAGAAATCACAGTTAGGCCTAAAAGCAAGGACCCATATTCTCTTGGATCAGGACACCTGGACAAAGATATTGGGTACTGGGCTGTGAATGAAATCAGGCTACAACTAAGGAGACAGGCTTGCTAAAGTGTGTTAATTCGAGGAGTCAGAAATGAGAGTGCTGGACTTGACTCCTGAGTAGGAATTCCTGGCTCTCCGTACCATCCTGCATGTGCTGACCAAGATACAGACTGTGCCCTAAGAAAGTGTCACCAGGCCTTGGATCCATTCTGAGCAAAATGGATCAGGGCCAAGTCTGAGGAAGAGATTGCTTCCACGTCGGAATCCATGTGCTGACCCATAGCAGTGGATTTGGAGATTGTGCAGGCGGGTTGCCTAGCGGTTCCTCATTTATGCCAGGGTGTAGGGTATGAGTTGAAGCCAGTGGCTTCCCATTGCTGGAACTTAGTTTCCTCCTTCACAGGTTAACATAAATCTATGTTGTAGGAATCAACTTCAGAGCTCTAGCATCAAAATGTCTTGATAATGCATAAATAATATTCATCTGAGTCATTTTCCTTTATTCTTCTGCTTCACTCTTAATAATCTGACCACAGGAGTGCCTACAACTTCATTAGCTTACACTGAAACACATTTCAGCTCTTCTCAAGCTATGAGCATCCTACTGGTGGCCTCAGACTTCTGTTGAAGATCTGGGCCACATTACAAGCAGAAGACAAGTCCACTTTTCAGGTGAATTGAGAATCAGAAAGGGTCTCTGTGATGCCTACAGCCTTGATTCCACAAGAGCTTTGAGTGAAGAAGTGCATGTATTTTCCAGAAGTTGTCCAGTTCAGAAATATAAAACAAAGTCATCAAACTGTCTTCCAATTTCAGATAGGTTTTAAGGGAGCTCTTTGTTACAGAGTTGTAGCCATTCTCTTTCTTCAAGAGTGATTGAATCCAGATTAGGAAGCTTAAGCAATAGCTAGAGCCAGGCAAATGTCAAAATTCATACAAAACATCCTGGTGGATACAGGGAAGATGATGGGATGAGCTGCTCCAGAGAATGCAGAGCTCATGCTACAATAAAACCCATTCTAGAAGTTTACATCTATTTTCAGCACAATCTGTTTTTATCATCTGTGCATTTAGTATCAACTCCCAAGTCCTGTGCACAGCTGCTCTGCTGTGACAAAAGTCCTCTCTGTGGCGATATAAAGTCTGTGAGCAGCTCAAAGCATGAGTAAGTCCCTGTGGAATACACAGAGAGGTGCCTGGTGCCACAGGTTCTTTGGTCTGTGAACTTCAGGGAAGCTTCTGACTTTCCTGGCACTCAAAGGACAGTATGGGCTGAGGGGGTGGGGGGTGGTGGAGGCTAAAAACCTTTACCAGATAAAGGTAACCAAGATCAAGCTAGGCAAGGTTCTAAGACCTTTCCCCAGCAAGACTTCAGCTCACTTCAAAGATTTAAAGACAGGAAATCCAGCAGGTAAGAGGCCAAATGGAGTCCTGCCTCTCCCACTGCAGTGCAAAAAGTAACCATTTAACCTAGTCATTGAATACAGGGTTGAGTCCTAACATTGCCAGCAGTCAGCTGTATAGCTCACTCAGGTGGGTCACTTAACCTCTCTGTGTCTCAGTTTCCACATCTTTCAAAGGGGAATAAGAAAGTGGCTTCCTCATAGCATTGCTAGGATAAACAAAGAGATAAAATGGAACAATCCATGTAAAAACCTATGGAGAAAAGGTAGAAAATGCTATATACAAAGTATTAATCATTCAATGAAAATATATCCTTTGTTCTTACACCTTGCCCAAACCCAGCTTCAAGACAACGAATTCTATCAAAAGGAAAGTCCTTTCTCTTATTTCAGTAGCTTTGTGTATCTCTTTCAGTCAAGTAGGCAGTTTCCTTTGGGCCACAATGGCAACCTCGGGACTCCTTTTTCTGGGAGTCTAAGCCATGAAGAAGCTACAAAACATCTGAAAAAGACCAACGCAGCTGGGAGATGCTAGCTAAACCTCTGGTAAACCAGGTTAGTAAGAGGCAGGGGCAGCAGCGGAGTTAGAGTTGCTAGGGCTTTCCCTAGTCCCACGTCTCACTCCAGCCACCTGGGAAGACAGCATCCCTGCTGCTCAGATAGCCCTGCGGCCCACAGGCAGACTCCACATATTTACATGCAGCTTTGCCTCCTCTCCTCTGTTCTGTGTGAGGAAGCAGAGCTGAGACGCCTTAAACATGCTGCAGCATTTTCTGCACTATTTCTGCTCCCACGTGGGCACTGGCAATTCCAGTGCTTCCTTCTGAACAACCAACATCTAGAGCTAGCTAACTTCTGGTCAGCCAATGTAGCTTCCACAGGAGAACATCAGTAGTTCCAAACCTAACACTTTCCTCTCCCCTGGCCCCCACATAAGTTCTTCATCCCATGTTCCCATGACAGCAAGACAGTGGGACTGTGTCAAACTCCTTCTCACTTCAGTATCTGAGTCCAAGACCTACATTAGTTGATCATTGAAGTTCTTGCTTCTTTATTCCCACTGTTAGTTTCATTCATCTGATCCTATTAGTCACCTTTCTAAAATCTAACTCAAACCATGTCCCTTCTTACTAAAATTCTTTCATTCACTCCTCACAATCTCCAATCCCAACTCCAGAACATAATTTAAAAGACCTTCCAACCTCTCTGGTTTCAAAAACCCTCACTTTTCAGGACATCTTATGTATAAAATCAAGGTATCTAAATCCTCCTAAGTGTCCCAGGCTTTCCTCTTACTTCTGGATCTTCCTCCTTGCCATTCCCTTTGACTATTCATTACAGCCTCTTCCCCAACTAGCCTAACTTCTCCTCCTTCGAAATTCAGTTAAAAATCTTGTCCTCGGACCCTCCCTGGTGGCACAGCGGGTTAAAGCACAGCACTGAGAATCTAAAGCCGCTTCCGCATGAGTTCGATTCCCGCCTGCCCCAGAGGTGACCACATGGCGTGGCAGACCTCTCCTGGCCCGCCTGCTGCTCCCCTCAGCAGTGGACTTCATAGATCTGCCTGTTCTGTTCCCCACTCTGTCTCTGGTGAAGCCTCTCACCGCCCCTGAGCCTCTGGCCTGTACCCCAGTTCTGTATGCACGAATAAATAATCTTTAAAAAAAAAAAAAATCTTGTCCTCTAGGAAGTCTTCCGTGAACAGTAAGGTAAGGTGCTTCTAACTAGCCCCAATGACCATCACGTGGCACTTTATTATGCTTTATTATTGTTACTTGTTTAAATGACTACCTCCCCCACTAGACTATAAGCTGCAATGTGAAAATACCTTCTTCACCAATGAGGGCCTGGCACCTAGCAGAATTATTTGGCACATACTAGGAGATTAATACATATTTTTTGAACATTGATAGATGGATGGCTAGATGGCTGGGTGGATGAGTGGGTGGATGGATGGACAGATGGCTAGTTCAACGATAAGATGTTAAGCCCCTAGGCACCACAAAAGGTCTGTTCACAGAGAGTCACCTCTCTGTACTCTAGACCAAACCATTTTCATTAGGGCAGGATAGGCTGTGCACAGACAAAAAGCCACTAATACCAAAGGCCTACCCAGACTTCAAGAGTCACAGAAATTTCCAAGGTAATATTAATTTTTTGCCATCACTTATTCTTCTAAACTTTCAGTTATCAATGAGACAGACTGAGCCACGACATATAGGGCAATTTTGCTGCTGGGGAAAGTGTGGTCAGGGTGGGAACACAGAACAACTTAAGAAGCAGGGGTTTTAGGGCCCTCCCTGGTGGCACAGCATATTAAAGCAAAGCACTAAGAAGCTAAAGCCACTTCAGCATGAGTTTGATTCCCGCCTGCCCTGGAAGTGATCCACATGGCGTGGCAGACCCCTCCTGACCTGCCCGCTGCTCCCCTCAGCAGTGTAGTTTGTCAGTCGGCCTGTTCTGCTCCCCACTCTGTCTCTGGTGAATCCTCTCACCACCCCTGCACCTCTGACCTGTACCCCAGTTCTGTATGCACAAATAAAAAAAAAAAGAAAGAAACAGGGTTTTTAGGGGCATGCTGCAGGCTAGGAGGGTACAATAGCTGACAGGGCTTAAAATATAGGGGTGAATGGAAGTACCAGGAAGACTGGGCCAGAAAAGGCAACACACAGATTAGAACAAGGCTGAGCAACACAGAAGGTCTGGCCCAGTACTGAGGTTCCTCTTAGGAAGATGATAGGGGCGGGGCAGTTGATGAGTTATGGGTCTCTAGGTGATTGCCAAAGTAAGCGCTTTCAGCAAACAGGTAGATGAGTGGACAGAAAGGCCCCAAAAGTCTCTCTTCAAAAGATCTGTGTCCTTAGATGCTCAGCTACCTCTGTAAGACTCTTGTAACCACTCACCTAACAAATTCCACTAATGCAAATTCTAAGGTCAACTAACTTTGGATTGTGAGACCACATAAAATATTGTACCCATTTTCATAGCAGAAAGGAATAAAGTCAGGCTTAGACTCTGACAGACTTCATTTCAAATGAACCTGAGTCCATCCATCTACTAGTCATAGAGCCCTGGAGGACACTTTCCCTAGCTATGAAATGGGGATGTCCACCTCCCGGATCTGTTACGAGACTTAAAGTAGATAATGCTTATAAAGTACCATGCACAGAATCAGGTACAGAGTAAGTGCTCAATAAACTGACTTTTCTTTTCTTCTCTCCTTCCACCAAAATGAAGCCCAGTTATTTCCATTTTAAGTGAGAATGTGGGAGTGGCAGTGGGGGTGGAAGAGGACCTATGTTGCTGACTCATTAGGACAGAAGGCATGAATCAGGGCTATGTAATATCCAGGGGTGGAACAGGGACACTCCTTCCCCCACCCAGTCATCCTCATCCAGGTCCCTGGGGTCTTGGCTGGAAGTGGGTCCTGTGTGGTCAGGGAAAGCAGGTTCCGTTAGTACCTTTCTCACCACATTCGGAGAGGAGTGCTGGGTGGTGCTGTCCAGTGGAGGGACACTGTGAGGGGCTTCTTCCCCAGAGGCCTGAGGCAAGGTAGCAGCAGTATTCTTATCAAGTGGGAGAGCTGGCTTTGGGCCTTCAGATGCTGGGTGTTCATCTGTAACCTGGACGGGAAAAATTAAGAACTTAGGTGGCATTCCATAGAGTAGTGGCAGCAGTAGGAAAGCTGACGACCCTCAGACTGCTCACTGTTACCACCCTCACACTGGGGACTGCTTCAAAAGTTTTCAGTACGAAAGCTAAACCTTACATTAAACTCTTCCTGCAGGCCATGCTAATATGACAGTGTTAGAATAGAAACCAAACAGACTTCTGGCACTTTCTTTTTTATTTTTTTTAAGATTTATTTATTTATTCATACAGAACTGAGGTACGGGCCAGAGATGTGGAGGGTGAGAGGATTCACCAGAGACAGAGCGGGGAGCAGAACAGGCAGATCTACAAAGTACACTGCTGAGGGGAGCAGCGGGCCGGTCAGGAGAGGTCTGCCGCACCATGTGGTCACCTCTGGGGCAGGCGGGAATCAAACTCATGCAGAAGTGGCTTTAGCTTCTTAGTGCAGTGCTTTAACCCGCTGCGCCACCAGGGAGGGCCAACTCTGGCGCTTTCGATGTAGCAACATCAGTTTTCACTTACACTTAGCGTGTGGTCTCCATGAACCCTAGTCCCTTTCTGCCAGCATGGGGTTTATTCCAGTCCCTCAAAGGACATGAGTTTCAAAAGAAGACATCTGAAACATCATCTGATCAGTGCTAAAGCATCAATGTGAGACCTTCCATTTTATAATAAAGTAAAAGTCCATACAGCAGTTTTGAAAATATGTGATTACAGATTTAAAGGAGTCACTACTGTGGGAAGGGGCGAGAGTAAGAGCTCTGATAAAAAAAGAAAAACCAGAGTTAAGAATGCAGATGTGTGGCCCTTCCTGGTGGCACAATGGATTAAGGCACAGCACAGCAAAGCTACCCGCAGCTGCTTCAATGAGAGTTTGATCCCCGGCCAGGAAGCTGACCCACCTGATGCAGCATACCTCTCCTGGGTCACCTACTGCTCCCCTCAGCAGTGCATTTCAGTCAATCTGCCTGCTCTGCTCCCTATTCTGTCTCTGGTGAATCCTCTCACTGCCCCTGCACTTCTGGCCTGTACCCCAGTTCTGTATGCATAAATGAATAATTTAAAAAAAAAAAAGAATGCGAGTGTGGAATGAAGCAAAGTCCTAGAGGTATAAAGTGCACCTCTTCTATTGTTTTTTCACAAGAAAAGAGGGGTGGCGTTCATCATCTCCCAAGGAGAGAATAAGACCTCTGCTGTGGTAGTCTAGTCAGCAGATCTGATCCAAGATTTGACTCCACCACTCCATCATCTATAATCCCTAGGCAAAATGCTTCCCCTCTCTGACCCTTCACCTATAAAGTATAGAATGTGATGCCTACCTAGGATAGGAGAAGTGATATATTGACTATAAAAAACATGCCTAGCTTAGTAGGTTTCAAATAAATTTCAAGCCTATATCTGTATAGTGTTATAAACCTGCTGATCACTAGCATTTAGTGCTCTTCTCCTCCTTAAATATCCCCCCACCCCTCAGGGTTCTTAAATCCAGCAGGGGAAGTAGAGAGGTTACAAAGATAAAAGATACCCCCTCCCCCCTTGCCCTTGGCATTGGCAGGAGTGCAGCACTGCTCAGAAGATTCCATTCATGCATAAGAGCTGCTGTCACACAGGAGGGAAGAGCTAAACCAGGACACTACAGATTATTAAGCTCAAATCTATGTTGAGACTAGGTACTAGGTTTTCTAGCACTTTCCTGAGATGATCAGTGGTGCACAGGGAATTCTTGAAATGTAAGGGCTGAGCTCAAGGCCACCTGAGATAAAGAAACCTTCTTGTGCTACCCTGTGCCTGGGGAGGTTTGTCCCCTAAGCAACCCTAGGCTGGGGTGCACACTCAAGCCACCCTGAGGCTCACCTGCACGGTGTCCTCCTGGCTCTGGGACTGGACAGGTGCTGGCTGCCTTACAATGTAGTTGATCTGCCCCACGATGGTTTGCTGAAGATGCTGAGGAGATTTGGTCTGACTGAGTTGTAGGCTGGGTTGTTGAGCCTGGAGGAGAAGTTCCAGGTCCTTCTGCATTTCCTCCAGTTCAAACTTGTGGTGCATTATGTCCACATTCTGGGAACAGGCAGGCCCAGGAGGGCTCTCGTGCTGACCAGAAGCCAGATGCTGGGATGGAGTAAGAGGTGGTGGTGGCTGCTGCTGGGGTGGAGGGAGTGGAGGCGGTGGAGGTGGCAGCTGCTGCTGTGGATGCTGCTGGAAGTGGCTGAGTTTCAGCTTCTGGTGGTGGCCAAACTGGACTTGGATGGAGGGTGTCTGTAAGGTAGGCTGGGCATGGGTTCCTTGCTGAACATCCTGTGGTGGCACAATGCACACTGGCTGGGAAGTCAGCGGCTGCCCCAGCCTCTGGGACGTGCTCTCGGTCTCCACAGGGGGCTGGGTTTCCAGCCAGGGCTGCAGCAGCTTTGGAGGATGAGGATTGCAGGCCAGCTCTTTCTCCCTAGGCAGCAGGCTAGAGCATTGCAGTGGCCCCAGCTGCTGGGGCACAATCTCAGAGGGCTGCCTAAAGCTGTGGGCTGGGTGCATGCTGGGTGTGGGGACCTGGCTTTTGAGGGAGGGTGAGACTGGGGCACAGTGGGAGCAACACACAGAAGAGGAACACAGTGCTGATGACTGGAACTTGTGTGAGGGGTGGCTAAGAGTCTCCTGCTGAGCCACTGGGGACTGATGGCTTTGATAAAAGGATGCTGGTCCCTGTAAGCTTCCATAAGCAGGTGTATCTGCCCGGGACTGTTGTCCACCTTCAGTAGTTATGCAGCCTGGAAGTTCAGAATAGACAGTGTTTCCACAGGAAATCTACAGTGATGCCCCCAAGTTCCTACCTCCTGCTGCTGGGACCAAAGGGCAGCATGCAACAAACCTGTACCAGGCACAGTGGTTAAGAAATTCAACCCCTGATCTCCAAGGTTCAGTCTAGAATGGTGCCAGAAATAGTTTAGGGAGCCTGGGACAGCTGAGAAATTAACCAGCTTTTCCCAGATCGCTTGATCCATTAGAGAAACCATGGATTCCCTCCAAGTGTGCCCACTCCTTTAACAGAATGGTCCAATAGAGGCGTGGGCTAAAAAATCAACATTGGGGAAGAGGAGGGAGTGTGCTGGAAAGTAACAGAGGAGGGACAGTCATCAGGACCAATGAGCAAGTCTCCAAATACAGACCCAGGGAACTGTGTGTTGGGCAAGTAGGAAGCAGGAAAGTAGGTAATGCCAGGGCAGTGCTAGGCAACAGCACCACCCTCTGAGGCCTCTGGACCCTGCCGCATGATCACTGTTGCTAGGTGGGTATAACAGCTCCTGCAGGGCATTGTTTTTGATGAGGCTTCCTAAGGGAAAGACTGAGCTTAAGGGTGAAAGGTATGTTTTATTCACTTTGGTCCCTTAGAGCCCAGACCCAGAAGAGGCCTGATCCAGACAGCTACCCACAGAAGGCCTGCTGAATTAAGTCAAAGGAGAGAGAAAAGGAAAAAGAAAAAGCCTATGTATCATCCACCAACCTTCAAGTTCAAAAAAACTTTCACTTAAATAAACAGCCCAAGTATAGGCAGCAGCTGGCCACTAGTTTAACAAACCTACCATTAGGCTGTCAACACAGGCAGAACTTCATGTCACCTACATTCTGCCTAAAGACTGAACACTAGAAAATTATTGCAACAGGGAAGAAAAATGCACAAGGTCATGAGTTATCTGCTTACACCTCAACTCCAGAGGTGTTTGCGGATGTGTGTGTGTAGGGTAAAGGAAGGTGGCCAGGTGTTTTATGCCACTGGCTTCTGTGGCTATCACCTGCAGCCTTGAATGCAGGAGGGCTTGGCCATGTGGGTGCAGGGTACACCTGCCTGACTGTGGACACCCGGAGTATGGTGTGGGCAAGTGTGAGTGCGCGCACCTGAGCCTGGAGCGGAAGCTGTAAGGGCCCGTCACTCAGCGACAGGGCCTGCTACAGTGTCATGGCTAGGAGAGGAAGCGATCACAAGAGAACATCAGAGAGCCCAAAGAGAAAAGTGTACAGATTCATTGAGGGCTAGGAGGCTTACCAGCCTCCCGTCCCCAGCCTCTCTGCCTTGCCAGTCTGTGGACTTGCCCGACAATTGGTGTAGAAAGAGCATAAAAGCCTGAAAAAGGCCCTGAGGCTTCAGGGATTCTCTTTATCCACCTGTCCAAATCGATAGAGAACCTGTCCAGTGCCTTACGGGCACAACAGTGTGTTCTATCCTTCTCCCTCCTCTTTCCCTACTTAGTGCTGAGATGCCCAACTGTGCCCACACAGATAGATGCTTGCATGATCTCAGAGACATAGTACCCTGGAGAAGAGCACCACTGTCATGTCTCCTCTCCAGGAGTCCTATATTGCCACTGCTATTTAAGCCTGTCCACTCTCTTCTCCCTGCTCACCCCCACCCCCTACAACACACACACACAAGTTTGCTGAATGACTTGATGATCACTGGAAGTCTCAGGGAGTTGCTTTCTCTAGGGCATACACTGACCTAACCATTAATTTAGGCAGATGCTCTGTATTTGACCTTAGCAATTAGGTAGGCAGGGAGACCCTGACGCACCAAGAGAAGCCAGCTGCTTGGTCCAGAAGTTAGGCTCCCAGGTGAATCTGATACTCCAAGGGGAGCCAGGATCTGTGTTACAATTTGTCTCCAGCAATCGCTGCATCTGAAACACAATCTGACAAGACCAAAGACCATCAGGGGAGGGGAAAACCTTGCACTTGAGTGACATGCCCTCCCCCTCGCCCTCTGAACAGGTTGGACACTCATAGCCATGACTCATCAGGCTCTGTTCTGCCTCCATATTCTCATTTCCTTGTGCCTTTCTATCTGCATTTCCCCTTAACGCTTGTCCCACCACAGATCCCTCCCTTGTATTGAGGTTCTGGAACCCCTTATCTCTTCTAGCTGTCAGATGATTTGTAATTGTTCCTCAGGATATCATTTGCCTAGTAGCCCACTCAAGAGTGCCCCACTCATCCCACATGACTTCGGTTTATGAGCCTAGTGGGCAGACATTCTCTGAGCTTCTCACATTCTCTGGCTTCCACCCACATGTAACAACTCTTCCATCATAATCAACTGCCTTCTCCTTCCCTCATTCCTTTCACATATTTCCTATCACAAATTTTCCCAGTTACCTAGGACTTTGGCAAGTGTCCAATTTACCCTGCCACCATTTAGTTTACTAATGTCCCAATCAACACATTGTTCTCTTACTGTCAGTTAAATCACCTCCACCTCTTTTCTCAGTTCAGTCATTACATCTAGACCCTTTAAATATCTAGAACCTTTCTACTTTATGAAACTTTAAACTACAATAACCTACCCTCTGGTCATAGCTACCTCTTGCTCTTTCTCAGAGGGTTCTTCACTGAACTGTCCAAACTTGTTCCATCAGTCCGTCAGGGCTGCCAGTTCCCATCATTCTCAGTAACAACATCACTAGTGCCTAACTCCCTTTCCATCACTAATGGCAGACTGTAGGTCAGTCCAGCCCAAGACTTTGTCCCCCCAAAGTCATATTATCTGGCATCACCTCAGTGATCATCAACCTTGGTGGCACCCCAGTCCTTTCTGGTCACGTCCTTTGAGTTTCCTTTCAACTATACTCAGTGACTACCAATAAAAGCTTCACTTCTCCCTTTAATGCCACTTGCCCAGTGTCTAACCTCTACTTACTATTAGCTCCTACTTCACAGAGGACAAAAGACCACGAAGGACAAACTCTCCCAAATCTGCATCTCTCCTGGACTTAACTACATTCTAGTAACAACTTCTCTCTCCTCCCACCTCAAAGAAACGGGGTGCCTCTTAAGTTTAATATCAACTGGTTTACTCTACTTCTCACTCTTCCTGCCTTCTCAAGTTACCTTCTTATTTCTTTTTTTCACTTCTGCCTCTACTTCCTCACCTCCCAGCCTCAGTCTACTCATTCTAGATTTCAAGCCTTCTACTTTGCTGGAATTTCTTTCAAAATATTGCCAGTGATCTCCTGCTTCCAAAGCCTTAAGACTTCCCTCCACCACTCACTTCCTTTTACTGATGCAGCAATACTAACGCTGACCACTTGAAATCTCAAACTCTCTGTTAGTTTCTGTGCAACACACAGTCCTATTTCTATTCTAGCTTTTGGATCTCACTCTCCTTCACTCACTCTCTTCCTCCATACACTCTTCTACTAACAGTGGCAATACCACCAATGTCCAAGTGACTACCACACCTCTATGTCCAACCCTGGACTATTTTTCTGACTTCCAGAGTCACCTATAGAAACAGATTTTTACTATCTCCCAGTAGACTTTGTGTGCCTTGAAGGTGACACATACTTGAAGAGGTGTGAATCTATTTGTACAGTAACACTATAAACCAGTTACTTCAATAAAAGAAAATAACATTAAACAAGTAGATGTCCTGCAGTCACCTTAGACTGAGCCTATCCAAAAAACTCCATCAACTTCTTTCAAAATTCTTGCCCCCTTCTCCATGACATCAGCATCTTTAACACCATCCCCAACTCCAGCTTTTCTTTAGTCCCCAACTTAACCCTTAATAGCTTTCTATGGGATGACTAGCACATAGCTACTATCCAAGATCATGTCTGAATCCACCAAAGACAAAAAAGAACAAAATTTCCCAGCTGAGTTGCCTGGAGGAAGCAGGACCATTTTAGCAGCTGGGTCCTTTGCACTGTGGGGCTTGCGGAAGATGATATCCACTTAAGGCACAAGCAGTGCTTGAGGACTGGGAGTTGTTCTTACCAGCTCTTTGCTGAAAAGGAAAGGGATGCTGGTTTTGCTGCACACCGCCCAGTTGATGAAATTCTGCACATGCTCAAACTGACGATTGAGAACCATGATGCTCTGTAACTGCTGCTCCAGTTTCCGCTTTCTCTCATTTGTGATGCCCTGAATAGGGGAGAGGAGGCAGAATCCAAGGTCCTGTCTGTGGACTATAACCTATCTGCTTGGCAAGGATGGTGGCCTGGCCTGTATCAAAGTGGACATTGATGAAATGAGATGAAACTGTACCCTTGAGAGGAGAACAGCAGGACTGCTACCGATGGATGGAAAGTGAGGTTGATTTCTATAAGAATGAATGATGATATCTACATCTCTTTGAAATAATTTGATAAAAATTGTCTCATGAATTTCTACTAAGGCTATAAGACTACACAGTCCAGGGAGGCAGCTGCCTTAGAGTCATAACAGTGATGGGGGGGTTGAACTGATTTTCCAGTCATTTCTTAGCCACCCTCCCAAATTCAGACTGGATATTTTGACATGTAGGGAACAACAGAGAGTTATGGAAACTATACATCTGAATTCCAACCCAGGCAGCTCTGAACCCTAAGGCCAGTTTGGTAAGTGCCTGGTTTCTGACAAAAGAGTGTAGAACCCATCCACCTAATCCAAGTATACCTCCAACTCCTCTATAAGCCCATTCGCCTGTTTGTTCAGCTCATTCATCAGGACCATCTTGGCCATTTTGATCTGATTTTCCACCTTCCTGTGCTGATGCTTCACCTCAAAGATCCTGTAAAAAAGATGGGACAGAGGATGGTAAACCCTTCCCTCCAAGCCTAGAAGGGCCAGGCTATAAAGGAACAGAGCATTTCCAGTGCTGGCTAGGGGCTAGCCTGTGCTACCTGTCCTCAATTTGCTTTGCAGATGTCTGCAGACTGGATTTCTTATGTGCCACCTGGGTAGTCACACTTTCCAGAAGCATCCTCTGGTTTTGCAAAACTTCTTCAAGATGCCTGCACCTAGAGGGAGGGACAGAGAAAAGGCTGAGGACTGAGTCTCATGGTGAGCACACCAGGCCCAAGAGGACTGGGACAGTAGAGAAGGAAAGTCAAAGTTACCACGGGTTCTTGGCCTAGCAGGCTTCTCTAAATAAACTTCACAACAGGACTAGAGAAAAACTTTAGCCCAGAGGCAGCAGGTTGGCTTTGGCAAGGAGATTTGGATGTGCTGGGAGACCAGAGCTCTCACAGGTAGGGAGTCCAGAGCCTTCCCAACCCCCTTTGAGCATTGCCCCACCTGTGTTCTTTGTGTTCCACCATGAGGCAGCTATGGCAGGTGAGCACATCACAGGTCTCGCAGAACAGCTTGAGCACTTCCTGTGTGTGTAGAGGACAATACAAGGCGAAGTCCCCAGAGCCACCATTCACTCCTGCTAGAGAAGATGGAGAAAGTGGGCTTCCCTTGCTCAGGAAGACCTCTCAGTTAAGCTTTGCTAAACATTCCTGAGCCTTCCATGAACACAGGGGATGCATAGAAATTAGAGGAAAAGTAGGGCAAATTGGGAGTGGCCTCTGAGCCACTGAGGTTCCAGGGGCACAGGCTTAGCCCAGCTCTATCTGCGCAGATGTCCAAGAATAATGTGCCACCGAGCCCCATGCATTCCATCACCTGTCAGAGGCTGACAATGGCATTTTCCACGGCTGCATATGGATCTCCTGCAGAATAGTAAATCCTCTAAAATTTAAACTACACCTCTACATTGATCATGATTCTGTTATGATGGGGCTGAAATCAGCTACCCAGTCTTGCCAGGCACCAGGCTAGATCACATAGATCTGACCTCTGGCTCCTTTGGCCACAACAAAGGTAAGACTCCTCCCTCCCTGTTAAAGGGCTTTTTCAGAAGACTGCCATTTAAAACAGATGACACTGGATGACAAATCTAGATTAAGCTAGATTAAGCTAGATTCCATGATAACTGAAGACTTTTTTTCCATAGACCATCGCACCCACTCTTCCACTTCCACCCCCAATGGGGAGAGCCTAGAGTGAACTTAACTGTAACTGTGACTCTAGCAGAGTCATTTTCCCTTTGGGAAAGGCTCTGAGACCACTCCCAGCAGGAAAACAAGGATTCTGCACTGCTTAAAGGCATATGAGTTGCTGGAGAGAGGGGGCAATGATACCTGGAGATCCCTTCTGGGCCCGGGGAAAGAGCGGCCCCCCGGGGGCAGGGCCATGCCGGTGCTCCTCTGTGCAGGAGCTGCACAGCCAGCGGTTGCAGTAGGTGCAGAGGATATGTGCTGCCCTCTTCTCCTTGCACTCAGAGCAGTTCTGGAAGCAGAGAGTTCTGGAGTTATTGACAAGGTCCTCATTTAGGTCCATCTGAATGAGCAGTATAGACTAGAGGATACAGGCCCTGAATTCTGAAGTCAGCTCTGGAGAACTGCTTAGGAGTGAAGGAGCAGTTCAGGAAGGGAAGCACTCTGTGAGACTAAAAGGCCTCAGGGGTTATTCAGATAAGCTGAAGATACCCAGATGAGTAAGGTGAGGATATACAAGGAGAGAGGAGGGGAGGCAGTCAATGGGTAATGCTGTGATAAAGGAGTACACCCAGTGCCAAGGAAGCAGAGGGAGGTTTCCAGGACCATCCAGGGCATTTGAGTTGGATGGTGAATGACAAGTAGAAGTTCACCAGGCAGACAGAGGAGGAAAATGGGAAGCACAAGCAAAAGGCGAAAGCTGAATGTGCCCACTGAAAGGAGGGAGCCGCGGCTTCAGGAGTACACCGAAAGGTGTGACGTACAGTCTGCACCTGGACAAAGAAGCGTGGGTCAACGCTCAGAGCTGTTTCCACTACTGGTGCTTGAGAGTTTAAGGGTTCCTAATCCTCTGCCAGCTCAAATGTTCATCATTCATTTGAACATCAAGTATCTTGTAGGACTGATATGAAAACATAAAACATCAGTCTATCTGTGTCTGAATAATATAACCCCCCAAATTGATATGGACTCTGACCGCTTTGTCCTCAGACTGCTTTCTGATAAACCAGTGGGGGGAGGGAAGGAGATGAGAAATACAAGTTTTACTAATTAAACGATGAATTCCTTGAAGGTAAAGGAGATGGTGCCTGTCTCCATAGCAACCATCATAGACCCTGGCACATGTCAGACATTTAAAAAAATTAAATACTGATAAATAAATATTGCAAATGAAATAGAACAGCAAGGATACTTTAGTTAGAGGAGAAACTGCAGGAGTAACAGTAAGTGTGTGAAAGTTCAGGAAAAAGTAACAGTTGATAAATACAGGCAAGATCGATGAACCCATCTAATCTATTGGGTGTGTAACTTTCAGCTCGGTGGAACTAAAAAGGAAACAAAACCTCAGTACTTACATGTTTTAAGCAAGAGCTGTAAAGAGGAAAAATGCACCACATTTTGCTTTCCCCAACTCAAACACTTTCTCTTCTTGATAGAAAAATAAATGCATGGGAGGGTGGATGGATAGGTGGGTGGATATACAGGGAAACAGAAGAGTAACAAGTCAGGGGGAGTGATGGGTGGATAGATAGATTTGGGCAGGGGCCCCACAAATTTCTTAAAAGGATCACTTGTTTCTTTATTTGTCTTGACTTACCCTGGCCATCTTGGGTTGACCAGCAGACAAACACTTTAGAAAAAAGTGTTCAGTTACATCCCTGGTAAGGTATACTCGGTTACACCCAGGACAGGCAATGAGCTCTGGGGGGATGGAAAGAAAGCAGAGTCAGAGCAACATGGCCAGTTACAAGAAACACAAGGCCTACACATCAGGTTTCCAACACATAGTAACAAGGTATGTGTCAATACCACTTTGTGCCCAAACAAATGCCATGTGATGCTTTGTGCACACTTCCCATCTAGGTTCTCTGGACATGACCATCCCACTAAGGACCTTCTGTCTTCACCTGGTCTATCACCTCCCCTTCCCACAAGCCATGCTGCTACAGGCCCAACCTTGCTCACATTCTGATAATGAGGAACCTTTCTGTCATTTCCAGTCTTGATCTCACAGCCCTGAGAGGACAGCTTCCATTACTGGCTGAGTCCCAGAAGGTCAGTAGGTACAGAGGAAATGTGCTTATGGTTACCACATTATGATTGCCACACAGCAGAACTACTTTTAAGATCTCAAAGCTAAGGCTTTCAGAAGGCTCTAGCCAGAGAAAGGCAAGACTGTCTTCTCAGATTATCTAGAAAGAATTTGTTCTCTTTGCATAGCCAATAATTAGCAATCTTCTGGGGCTCAGAGATCTTTTACTGAAATTTCTCCATCTAGTCCACATTGGGTACACCACATATACGTATGTTTCACTTGAAAGCCTTTTGTCCTGCCCTTTCTCCCTAGAGGAGATATGAAACTGACACCTGGAAATGACACTGCTCTTCAGGCCACCGCAGGAGGCTAGCCTGCACTGGGTGTGAGAGCCTGCACTAGAGATGAGAGGCACCTGGAAAAAGGCTGGTAATGACCCCTTGAAGCAGGACTGCCACAGTCTCCTCTGCTTCATCTCATCAAAATGACACAATGACAGTTGTTCTGGAATTGCAGTCAAACAAATGTTAAAATCCAAAACCAACCCAGTGACCTTGGATGTATGGATTCCCATTTACCTGCTCTGTGACCCATCTTTTTGTATGTTAAACAAAGTGAAAATAAGTGTTGCTGTGAGGATTCACTGAGATAATATTTGGAAAGCACATGAATATTGTTTCTCAAGTCAAAAGATTCCCAGTTACAATAAAGCAACCTTAATTATCAACAATCCCAGGTGGTGAAAGTCAGATAATCTGAGTGGCACATTGAAAAATGATCACATATTCTTCCCCTCCCTGCATCCACATACTTGCAATCCGAACCTTTGGAAGGTGGAGTCTATTCTCCCTGCTTGGAAGTCAGGTTGGCCTTATCACCTGCTTTGGCCAGCAGAATGCAGCAGGTGACAATGAACAAGTCCTGAGCCTAGACCTTGCGTGACTTTACATGATTCTGCTCTGACTCTTAGAACTCTAAAGGCTGGAAGGTGACCAACTCCAGGTTAGCTTGCTGAAAAATGAGGGCAGGAGAGAGAGAAGCCTCTTTTGTCTCAGGTGCCACTGGAAGCCATCATAAACCAGTGAGCCTCATTGGCTCACTGACTGCACCGACACAGGCGTGAGCATCACCAAGCTTAGTCCAGCCTGCCTAGCCAGGGGCAGCACCCAAAGGGAATCCCAAGCCCAGCTTCAGAGTTGTGAATTCATAAACTAGAGTTGTTATTTTAATCACTAAGTGTGGAGTAGTATATTATCCCATAAAAGCTAACTGATATATGCTTGAAAAATCAAAATCATACAAAATAATAGTTTAATACTCTTCCTTCTCTGACTTCCTCTGAAAAAAATTCTCCCTGCCTTCATGTGCCATGGACTTAATGACAGAGCTAGATCTAGAATCTCTTAGATGGCCTTTCCTGGTGGCGCAACAGATTCAAGGGCAGCACTGTGAAACTATCGCAGCCACTGAAGCACAAGTCTGATCCCTGGCTAAGGGGGTGACCCACATGGCATGGCAGACCTCTTTTGACCCACCTGCTGCATAAATAAATAAATCTTTAAAAAAAAAAAAAAGAATAATGGCCAGAGGTGGAGAAGGATGTTCTCTCTCTCCACAGGTAAAGCCATCCAGGAAACTCAGGTGACTGTCCCTGCTTTCACTTGGCTCACCCTGGGGAGACCTTCCTTATCTACCCCTAGGAAAGAAATGCTACTCTAATTATTGAAAATAATTTCCATAAGGCTTTTGACTCCCTGGTACCAGATGTCCAAACATTAGTCATAATCACATGGTCTCATTAGTATAGTAGAGAATAACTAAAGAGATCAGACAAGGTCTCATCACACATGCTCTACTCCTTCAAGGCCATAAAGGTAAAAAATTCTCAGCTTGTTGTTCAAAGCCCTTCCCATATTGGCCTTATCTCTCCAGTCTCTTCTTCAGCTTTATATGTCATATATCCTATGTCCTTTGTCATGCCAAATAACTCTGCTATCTCTCGAATACATCAAAACTTTGCATACTCGTGCTTATAAAAATTCCACTCTCTCTCCCCAAAATATTCTTTTTGTTCTTCTTTCCAAATAAACTCCTATTTCATTATTTCAAGACTATTCAAATGTTCCACAATGGAGAAGCAGGGCTGATTTCCCTCAGAATGGTTTAATTATTCCCTCTTCTGGGTTCCCACAGCATCCTGAACATCTTTCTACTAGAATACATATTACATTTCATTTTAACTATACAGTCATAATGTTACTTACAAAAATAATCCATATTTTCTACTAAAGAAAATTGTGCTAGAGGATTTTCTAAAGATTTGACAAGTTTGGAATGAGATATTTCATGTACATTTTTTTGCACTCACAGCCATGGAAAGAAGTAGTAAGAAATCTATGGTTTTCAGAGTGATGGGGAAGCCCACCCAGGATGTTAAAGGAATTACATGTAATCTGCAGCAAAGGCATGGTGCTTAGAAAAGGCTTTGAAGTAGGAGAAATAGGTTCCAGGAATGACTGAGGCTATCTGTGTGACCTTGGCTAAGTCACCCTCTTTCTCTGAATCTCATTTCCTATGTCCTTAAAATGAGGGGGCCGGGGAGAGCAGGGAGGTAGGGAAGAACACTTTTCCTCTACTACTGCAGTCTTCAGCGATAACCCCATGGGCAAGATGGAAGGGAGTGCCAGTCAAACAGCAACCTGAATACTCCCCTCGTGAGGCAGTCAGGGAGCAGATGGCTGAGCGGAGGCCTGGATGTAGCAGCTTACCTCATCTGAAGAGGGGCTCTGCAGCCGGCACCAGGGATGAGAACTGTGGCATACCCCAGGGAGGCTGAGGGGTGCAGGGTGGACACAGAGGACAGGTGCTCTCTTTGCGCCACAGTGTTTTGTCCAGAAATTTGTGTCTTACCTTCAAAAGGTCCCTAGCCACGATTGGACTTGAATTTTTTTTTTTAAAGATTTATTTTTATTTATTTGTGCATACAGAACTGGGGTATAGGCCAGAGGCTCAGGGGCAGCGAGAGGCTTCACCAGAGACAGAGTGGGGGGCAGAACAGGCAGATCGACGAAGTACACTGCTGAGGGGAGCAGTGGGCGGGTCAGGAGAGGTCTGCCACGCCATGTGGTCACCTCCGGGGCAGGCGGGAATCGAACTCATGCGGAAGCGGCTTTAGATTCTCAGAGCTGTGCTTTAACCCGCTGCGCCACCAGGGAGGGCCGAATTTTTTTTTTAAATAGGTGTCCCCTTTTTCAATGTGGATACTTAAACAAAGTCTCAAACTAAGCCCTAAGAATTCACAAACTCTTAGGGCTACAGATGTATGTAAAATCACTGAACATCTACTTATAATATTTAACATTAGCTTGGTTATATTTAAATCACATTACATAAAATATTATTGAAATATATTGAGTTTTTTTTTTCTATTTGAATTAATCAAGCTGTAATTTGGGCTTTTATTTCAGACGCCAGGACATCAATTTTGAGAAATAGATAGCCAAGCCCCAAAAGCCACACAACAATTCCCCGAAGAAGCGAGGCTTCTACTTCCAGAATGAAGAAGTCACAGGCACCAGCAGTCCTCCTGGAGACCCGAGGTCCCAGGAGAGCAGCTCTGAAAGCTAAGCATGTTCAGTCCATCTGTCATAAGAGAGATTACTTCTGGTCCCCAGGAGGTATGAGACAAATTATTCTTTTACCAACACTCTCTGCACCAGACAATTTACATGTGCTTTCTCATTTAATCACCGAGCCAATCTGAAAGGTGAACACCGTCCCCATTTCATAGGTGGAGAAACTGAGGTTCAAAGCTTGTACAAGCCAAGGGCAGAACTATTATTGGAATACAAGTCTGTCTGCCTCTAAAACCCAGTCCTTTCTACTGAGCTAAGCTTTTCTCTAATTCCAGTGTACTAAGCTATGCTTCTCTCCAATTCCTTTAGTTAACTAGATAATTTGATCATAAGTAAAATGTTCTATAATAATGATCAGACTCTAATAGTGACCTGCTCTGGAATCCAGTAGATGTTGGAAGCCAGTCCTACCTGAGCGTCAAGTATTAACAAATGAGATCTTTGAGAAAAGGGAAGTGAAATGGAGCTTTTTTGGCAGAAGAAAATAAATCTGGGGGCAGTTTCATTCTATAGACCAGTGATTCTCATATTTTCTATACTTTCAATCATATGGGGTGCTTCTAAGGGTTCTGATGTCCAGTCCACATCCCATATCAATTAAATCAGAATTTCAGGAAGAGGGATCTAGGCATCAGTATTTTTTTAACTTCCCAGATGATTACAATGTACAACCAAGTTTGCAGACCACCACCTTTGAAAGAGAACCCCTTACCCCCATGGCCAAGCTTGATAGCTCTGTCCCCGGAACCATCCTGCTGAGGTTCACCCAGTCTTTCAGGCCCCACAGCCTCCCTAAGATCTGCTTGCAACACGGCCATGATCTCCATCTCTGCTATCTTCACATAGGATGGGCTGTTAAATCCAGGCCTCCCTCAGCCACCTGTCCTCTGACTTACTGATAAGAGTGGTAGGTTGCTTCTGATGCTGCAGGCTCATCCAGTTTTAAAGATGCTAAAAAGTTAAGATACTAGGAATCTAAGATATTAGCATGCCACTGCAATG